AACAAATAAACTATTTGAAAATAAAATAATTTTTTTAATATTTTGAAATAAATATTAACAAAGAAAAAGAAAGAACAAATAAATTATTTGCAAGTGCAACTATGAAAGCATTAATCTTTAAAAAGTCAAATTCACAAGATGGCAAAATGAGAGAATAAGGTATACACACATAAAATAAGCATAATAAAGAATATATAAAATAAAAAGATCACATTAATATGTAATGAAAATAAAACTTACACAAGGTATCAAAATAAATAAAAGTAAAATAATAGAGTATGAAAATAATATGGGATACAAAGTCGTGTTAGAAAAAAAAGAGCGTGAAAAGAGTCACATAAGTCTCACCAATATTGATGAGATTTCTGTTGAGACTCTTCTTTGTAATTTTGTTACAAAAGTCTCTAAAAGTCTTAAAATTTAAAAAGTCTCACAAAGTCTTTCTATTTTGAATATCTGGTGACTTAGAATCTCGGTCGTCGTACATCTTCAGGCGAACTTGATCTCGGTCTTAATAGGGTGTTTTGCCACTGTTCGGTTCGTAGGACACCATCTTCACGCACACGGTCGGAATTGAGAGAGGGAAAGGGGTATTGTACTTTTGACAAGCATCCCACTCGCTCGTCGAGAATCGAGAGAGAAATAGGGGGTTTCATCTCGAAGCCCGCCTGCGGTTATCCCTCATCTTCTTCATTTGTGCCATTTTGGGGTACTCATTTTTCTGCAATAGGGAGTCAATAATAGCTGCATAAAGAGAGGAAATACAACCTATTATTCATTTATCTTATCATTTAGCAATTTTGTTTTCTCTTGGTCGATTTTCATCTCGCAAAAGGAAAATTCATCAGATCGGAGTCGTTCCTTGCTAGTTTGTTCGATGGCCTCGAAAATAATCCTCAAGGAGCTAAAGGATATGCAAAGAGATCCACCTACCTCCTACAGCGCCGGTACTTTTTTTTTTTTTTTTTTTTTTTTTTTTTCATTTCGTATTTGAATTTTATTCATTCTGATATTGTGTTTCTCATTGACTTGATTCATATCTCTATTTGAAGTTTGATTTGTGGTAGTTTGATGATTTTAGCTCGTGAGGTTTTGCTTGTATTTCATTCGGATTTGTTGATGGTAGGGAAGCTCCATTTTCTTTTATTATTATTATTATTATTATTCTTATGACTGAAGGTTGATGTATATTGCTTCCTTTTTGTAATTTATCATCCATATCATGATATTGTTTGTAATTTGAAGATACACATGTTAAGTCTAAACTCAGGTTGAAATATCAAATATGAGTATGAATGTATTATTCAACTAAAGTTTAAAGGCAATGGACATCTGACTTGGAAGTGATATATGTATTAGTAGAGGTTTGGATAGACAATCCTTTGGATAATTTTGAGCCATTTGGTTTTGTTTGTAGTTGTATGCGTATTGTGTTAAACTAATAGATGCATGTTTTGGCTTTTGAGATTCAGAACTATATTTGTTCTGCTTTCATCAATATGCAACAGTATTTGGATTATTTAGGAATTTCATTCCAGTGCCCCTTAAAAAGTTAATATTTTGAATTATTTAAGAAATAACATTCCTTCTTTTCCCTAACTGAAATGACCCCTTCAGTAAGCTGTTGCTCTAAGTTGTGCAGTTCATTATAATTTATCCCTTCAAGCTCCTTTCACATCATTCGGCTTATTTTCACCATGAAAATAAAAATAAAATAAAATAAAAAAAAAAACTCAGTATCATGCATTGAATAAAATTATAAAAATCCTAACAATTTTAATTTATTTAAAAGTTTTGGACACTTCAATTTGAAAAAGTTAGAGTAATTCTAGAAAATAAGCTGAAATTTTAAAATTTGATAAAATATTGAAAATGTACTGTTGCAACGATTTGAGTCTTTTTTGTCCATTCAATGGAGCTGGAAGAGTCATTGTTGACAATTCTCCTGGCATAGTGCTAATAATGGAC